GGTTAGCTTAGCTTAGTTTAGGTTAGGTTAGGTTAGGTTAGTTTAGTTTAGGTTAGGTTAGTTTAGGTTAGGTTAGTTTAGTTTAGGTTAGATTAGTTTAGGTTAGGTTAGTTTAGTTTAGGTTAGTTTAGGTTAGGTTAGCTTAGCTTAGCTTAGGTTAGTTTAGGTTAGGTTAGGTTAGGTTACGTTAGCTTAGGTTAGGTTAGGTTAGGTTAGGTTAGGTTACGTTACGTTAGCTTAGGTTAGGTTAGGTTACGTTAGCTTAGGTTAGGTTAGGTTAGGTTACGTTACGTTAGCTTAGGTTACGTTAGGTTAGGTTAGGTTAGCTTAGGTTAGGTTAGCTTAGGTTAGGTTAGGTTAGGTTAGGTCAGGCATGCTAGGAGAAAAGTCGTTGGCTATTTTTGACATGAAGAACCGGACGTCCAAGGAGTAAGACGTCGAAACACATTTGACACCAAGTCACTGACTTAACCCTTTGAAGATGAACCACATCTAAGTGAGTAGAATTTGAGGTATTCACGACAGTGAGTCATAAGATGGCTGTCTTCTGAATTGTATATAAAGATGTAGATGTAGAAATAAAAGACCTCTGGTACGTTAATAAACTTCTACCAGACTACACAGAGCACAATCCCAAAAGACAGTCGTCTTCCTCATTTAAGTGTATTTTAAAATTCAGTCCGTACTACAAAGAGATCAAAATACGTCTCTTTTAAAAGACCAGCTGGTCCGTTTTGTCTACGGAAATAATAAATTTTTATTAGGAGAATCATATCGAAATCGTAAATATTTTCTGCGTTCGAAATGCAGAGTTGTGGATTATCAAAGTAGATGGCACTGTACGTATTTGATTTTTAGCAACCAAGAGTAAGTTAGTCTGGAGAAGTTTATTTCTAAGTCACTAGACATTTTTGGAAATTAAAGGTGAGTACACAGTTTTATTTGAACATCTTAAACGAAATAGACTACCTAATTGCACCTAAGCAATACATATGACTATAATAATCCTATTATAATAGATTTAAAATAAATGTTACTTCAAGGCATGGACTCTATTCGTCTAACTCAGAGCAGGAGCTAATGGCTGACTTGTGCATACGATAATAGATTATAGGATTCCATAAACGTCGTGATACTTTTTGCCTAATTAGGCCACTATCATCTTCTCAAGAATGGCTCTTTTATTAATAAATTGTGAACTTTTATTACATAACTATTTCAATAACAAATGTGTCTTGATTCATAGTAGACTATCCTCAGTGTTGAATGGGACACAATTTGTATCGTGTAAACCAGGGGTCGGGAAACTTTTCACTAACACGGGCAGCATTGTCTGTTCACAGCTTCGACTAGGGCTACACAAACAATTAGTAGTGTACAGAATGTGAATTGTTTATCTTTAATTTTAAGAGGACAACTGGTATTATCTAGAAAACATATGTATTTTCTCTATGCAGCTGTGTTTATTATGAAACCGTTACTTTGATATATCCACAATGAAATAGCAAACTCTCCTGCTTTTAACAGACAAGTGACTTCGAACTTCCACAAATGCCCTGACTTTTATGGAACACAAAAGTTTACAAACACGGTCAGAAGAGTCCTCTAATCGGTCTAATACTGAGCCACAAGATTAAATGCAGTCCACACCACCATATATATATATATACATTTTAGTATCATTCCATCTACCCCTAGGTCTCTCAAAGTGGTGTATTTCCTGAGGTTCTTATACCTACGTTAAACAGTTTTGAATTTTGAATCAGTCATTGAGAAACTTTGTCCCATGTTTTTAGTTAACTTCTCATTATGAAAGTTAAATTACCCTGCACGAGACAAACTATATTCGGAATAGCACGGTCAGTTAAGTTATGGGTTGTAGGCGGATGACCGAGGTTCGACTCTCATTTGATTAGGGATGGGGACTTTTCTCCAGCCTCCTATCCACTGGAAACACATAAGATCTTCCCAAGGCGCTAAATCGGCCGGAACCTCAAGACGACCATTGTCCTCTGTCTAGTGCAGAGGTTAAGAATACATGGAGTTTTATCTCTTATCTTACGTCTTCATGTTGTGGCAACTTTTCGTTTCACAACGTTCAAACTCTTTTATCATTTTAAATAATCACTAGCTTTATATATCCGTGGCTTTCATCCGTAGAACAAAAGACTATCAACGCGCATGCTCAGTAATGGAACATGCCGCTGGATCAATGCGAGTAAAGCAACTCTGTTGAGACAGAGTCATGGAGGATAGCCACGGACCAACATCGGCTGTGGCAGTTTCCGGTAACCCCTCTCGTCCTGCAGCCTCCACGAGTGGAGTGGACATCGAGTCTGACCATCGCCATCAACATGTGCAGGTCCAGCCATCTCCGGATCATGGCAGCTGGCTGTGCTGTGTTCCCTGTTATTGGCTCAGGAGGAACAACAGCGTCCACAAGGCGTCGCTGACAGTCGCAACTCTAATTGTCATGTCTCTGCTGGTGGCGTCTCCAGTTCTCTTCCTTATCAGCAGCATTCCAACACGTGAAGGCGATCGGCCGAGAGGCTGTCATCACCAGGTAGGTGAATTATACAACTAACTTCATTTTCAGTGCGATTGTCGTGATTTCTTTAGTTTGACTCTTTGGACAAAGATACTTCAAAATACAGAACAAAAGACATTGTGTCCTGAAATAAGCATGACGTCAAATACAATTTAAATTATCATCTGACCATCGATTCATAATCATCTATCAACTCCACACGAGGTATGTTATAACTTCCGGTGCTGAAGAAGGATGCACTATATTCCCCCGAAACATTATCACGCAACTAAAATTCTGTAGGCCGCAACAACCCAAAATAAAAACATTTTTAATTTAGAAAATCTTAAATTTTATTTCCCTCTCTTATAGATGTAAATATGGCTGACATATTCAGGTATATAGTTGGTTTTCCAGCAAGCTATAGTTACATTTAATAGAATAGAAAGGATATAATCGTTCACATAATTTGTGTCGTATCTCTCATTTCAGATAATAAATAATTATTTTTCTGTGATTTTTAAAGTGGCTTTACCCTTGACGAAGGCACATCGTGGGCCGAAGTTTGACGTCGTGGTTGAGTGGTTAGACTTCTCCTTGGTTTTTTAGAGGTTCCAAATTGAAATCTCGGCCGTCCTGACTAAAGTTTTTAATGATTTTCTTCTGTCCCTCCAGTAAAATCAGGCCACGGCCGCTTTGTTTCTGTATTTTTCCAATTTAAAGTCACCTCATTTAACGTTACGTAGTCTGAGATACTGAAATGGGTCGTTAAGTAATCCATTAAAAGGTACGAAATTTGGGATACAATAGGGTAATGACATAACTGTCATTAGCATTAACCTCAAAATGACTCAGAGAGATTAACACAATGTATACGGGTATTCAAACAATAAAGTTCTTCGTTCTTGATTTATACAGCGATTACGGACAATTTGAAGGAACAAAATGACTGCAAACGAGCTGTTACGTAACCTGAAATGCCGTATGTTCACTGTATATTCAATAATTCTTACCGCAAGATACGTGTTCCTTAGTAAAATTAAATTCTAACGTAGTAAAATGTTCATTACTAAATGTGAGATTTAGAATTTTGAAATTCAAATGCGTCAGATTTGGTCAACCATAGATTTCCCATAAGTATGAATGATTTATGTTAACCAGACACGCAATCCTTGACAATGTGCATGAACTGGTCTGCTCCAGGAAGTCGATTGAGGTTTTCGGAATATTGACGATGTGGGGACTGTCTGCGAGAAATATTGCAAGCTTGATATGTATCAGAATCAATTCGGGCATTCTTTGAAAGAGGAACATCTTTTACACTATTTTAAATAAAATTGAAATTGTGTGCTTGTATTTTCGCTTACAGCTCGAGAACGGATAAATCAATTTGCATAAAACTTCGATTGCTTATTCCTTGAGGTCAGGAAAATATTTTAGAAATGTCAAAACGCTGAAACATTGTCCTGAGTTCGTGTTTCGGGCAGAGTGGTTTCTGTGGTATGACAGATGAACGCCACAAAGAACAAAACTATTTGTTCCAACGAGGTGGTTACAGGAACTAGGGTGAGAAAGTTAAATATTGTTCCGTGTTCGAGTCTCGGTGAAGATGTTGGGTTCAGAGATGATGATGATGATAATTTTCTGTAGTATTCAATGATACGTATCTAATTACCAGGACTATTGTAAGCTTTCGAGCAATAAAGGTTTATAAGACCTGTAAGTATTTACAAGGACATCTTTTTCACAAGTATAAGGATTTTTTTGGAATCGAAAGCTACCCCTAAATTCATTTACCCTTAACTTGCCAGAATGAGCTTAGGGATATATTTCCCAATCTTCATGCTCCAATATTGAACTGTGTATTCCAAACTTTACTGCAGAAACGCATTACCGGTTTGCGTGAAACCTGAGTAAAAACGTGAAATGTATGCATCGCTGAACATGGTTGACATTTCCAACGCTTCATATATAATTGTTTTTTTTTTGTTTTAAAATTTCAGTAGAATTTATATTTTGACAAATGGAACATGTGCCATAAATGTGTTTGCGTGATTTTTCGATTACACTGCAAAAAGAACTGATAGAAACCAGTTGGCTTCAAAGTGTTAGACAAACAAACTTCACGTCTGGACTCCTACAGCTTTAGAATATGAAGATATTTATAATAGCGTAAATCATGAGGACCATCATATTAATCTCGACAGGGTCTTAGCGAGGAGAGATTTCGTAAAACGATAAAAGTTCTACAGTCTCTTTATTAGACCTACAACTTTAAATAGCGAAAGGTCGTAAAATAGAGAAAGAGGCTGTAACTTAAGGGTGTAGATGAGTCCCGCCTGCAGTACTCGTTTACGAACGACAGATCATAAACACAATGAAACCAACCATCATTATTGAAATTAGTTTACGGCCCAGTAATTAGGTTATAAACTAAATGTGCCAACGCAAAGTTAAAATTAATAAGATTACGTAAACACAGCTCTAAACGGGTAAGTTTATGTTAGACCTGGTTTGTATATTATACAGGGTGATATGTGTGGTGAAGAACCGATGGACGATTACGTGTGTAAGACAGAAGAATGTCGGAGGGCCGCAAGTCGGATTCTTGCTTCTATGAACTGGAGGTACGATCCATGTCGTGACTTCTACAAGTTCGCGTGTGGTGGATGGTCTCCAGGAACAGATGAGGGCCGTAAGAATTTGTCCCATCACTACGGTCAAAAACCAGAACTGAGTTTTAATACTATCCAGAAACAAGTGGATCAACAGATACAGCGTGAGTGTTTTGTGTAGTTTTTTTAATATTCGAGGCAATTTGCTACGTTGGCTGCTGAGTTGGCATTAATTTTATCACACCCCTTCAATATAGACAAAGATCTTTACAGATTAAATTTGTGGTAATTTTTATTACGATTTTATGAATACTATTTAAGAAATAGTTTTTTTCAAGCTGAGTTAGTATAATTATTTTGCGTTAGGATGGTCTTTCGTCTTCCTGGCTTATGTCTAAAAAATAATTTAAAAATGTAAAGCTGTACTTTTGCCTGTTGTTTTGTATGGTTGTGGAACTTGGTCACTCACAATAAAGGAGGATCGGAGACTGAATATATTTGAGAAGAGGAGAATATTTGGACTTGGGATTAAGTGACAAGTGGTCGGAGAAAACTGCATAATGATATATGACGAGTTTAATAATTTATACTCTTTAACAAATATTATTCGGATTAGAAAGCCAGAATAGATGACCACACAGGAGAAAATGAGAGTGCATTATTAAGATGGATCTTGAGGAATTAAGGTATTTTGATGTGGAACGGATTTACATGGATTTGAACAGGGTGCAGAAGCAGGTTCTTGTGAACGTGGTAATTAACCTTAGGGTTCGTAACATAGTTAGCTATTATCCTGAGCTTTCCTAGTTTGCTAAATCAGAAAGAATTTTTTTTATAAACATGATTATTATTTATTTGCAATGTCCATTGTCATAAGTTTTTATAAAATCTGATGTTTCGGAAACTCTTTGTCTCCATTATCAAGAATGACGTTTCTCAATCAGATGGGGCGTATTGGATACAGCCAGTCTCAACCACCAGGTCCTTCTGAGTAGGAAACTCTCTCCCGTGCTATCTGTTCACGGAGACTGAATCAGTTTCTAAAATGTTTGTGTTTGAGGCCAGGACAAATAACAGTAGTTAATCTGAGAATAAAACAATACCCATTTATAATCTCTGATATAAATGCAGTATTATTTAACAATGAAGCGTGTTCTGTCCTTTACAGTGTTTGACCAGAGTCCTCACAGAATACCAACAATTAGTTTCTTCTTGCAGAACTTCTGACCCTGTCGTCTAGTTCTGGGCCTTTCCAGAAATTGGGGCTCTTCTACAACAGCTGTTTGAAGATGAGAGACAAGAGGACGTCGACAGCCCCAAGTGAGTTACTGTTCTATTTATTTATAAGTCAGAAACTACACGATTTTATTAGGCAAGAATGTAGTGCTTCAGAATGTTGTATGAAAACATGTATCACGTATGTGTCCATGTTGACACGGTATAAGAAACTTCATAGAAACATTTTTATTTAATTTTGATAACGATAAATTATATTGAATTTTGTGTTCTAAATTATACTTTTGATCTCTGTCGGCAAAGTATTTATGGAATGTTTACTGGAAAGTTTATATAATGCTTTGAATTTCTAGTTAAAAATTCGTTAGATAAAAGCAGTTTAAAATAAACACAGATAAAACAAGTTTTCTCATCTAAACATATATTTTTAGTCGAAGATGGCATAGGCATGTTCAGACACGTTGCTGTTGAATAATTTAACACGTTTATAACTAGACAATAATTAATATATTTTTTGGTACGTTCTTTCCAGATTGAATATGAATTGTGAGTGAACTACTAAAAATTTAGTCTTGAAAATTTATGTTGGTTGTCCACTGGAAAGAAACAAAGAATTTACCATTTTCAAATAATTCTTACTTTTCTATTTTAAACGGCTTTTTCAATTTTAACAAATAAGGAGGCATTTTGCAGTGTTTGCTCTTCTGAATGACCTGGGTGGATACCTAATGCCTGGGACCCCTCAGCCACCAGACCTGACGCCACTATTGACTCGTCTTCTCCTTGTAAATGGAGCACCTCTATTTGACGTCTATCTGGAGCGAGACGTGCACAATCGCACATTCCTTGCTGTTTTTCTGGACTTACCACGTCGCTATGGACACACCACCAGGCTGCTACATGGACCCTACCCAGAGGTAGGCCTAACATTGTGCCTTGCAGAGAAATATAATTCTATTTCCCACTGAATTATGCAGCATTCTTATTAATTTTAAGTAAAAATGCACATGTACCCTATAATAGAAACTATATAAGTATTACGTTTAGGCAATTATAAATGTTTAATTTCATTTGACCGCCACGGTGGTCTAGCGGTTAGAACGCTGGCCTTGTAATCCTGGGGTGTCGGGTTCGAATTTATAACTTGTGTTGGGCCAGGCCGTGGTCTAGGCAACCCGGAGTTTTCCTCCGGGGCATCCCAATAATTACTCCATTCACACACAGAAGAAGGCAGTGGCAAACCACTTCTGGATCATCTGCCAAGAACGTATATGAACAGGTCCCAGTCCGAGAAAAGGATGGAAGGATCCTGTTCATATGGACCTGTCGTCAGACAGAACACTAAATAAATAAAAATAACTTCATTTGATTGTTTGAACAATATATTTTTGTTATTTAGGTGCCGAACGGTATTTTAAGCGTTCACAGAACAGTAAGGACGAGCAGTTCGAGGATAAAACGCAGTCAGAACAAGGAAAGCAGAGCTTACACATATATTAAGGTGAGATCTACCGGTTGTACATTTCAACTTGATCCTTGAAAGCATTAAGTTCGTCTAAATAATATTTAAAAATTCATTTCAAAGAAATCACAAGAATACTGGCAAAAACCAGCTGTTACTTAAGATTTTTAAGGAAAGAAATTCACTGTTTGTTCTCAGATAAAAGTTATATAAATATAAATGATGGATTGAAGAATTACTGAATATTAAAGTGGGTGGTACGTAAAGTTACTACAGTGCTTTAAATATTTAATTAATTTCGCTGTCTTTCCAGGACAGTGCTGAAGAAAAGAGGTTGTTAAGTCTGGAGAAGCTGCTCCACAGATTTTTACCAAGCAACATGCCTCTAGATATGCGAATCAAAGAAGCACAAAGTATCTTACTATTTGCATCAATGCTCAGTAAAGTAAGATATTGGATTTGGATCTTTATTGATTTTTACTCGTTGTAGAATACGTACGATTTAAATGTTCATTTTATTGCAATTCACAGTAAGAAGTCGATACGTTTCAGGTATTTCCACGTGAGAAAGACATCATCAACTCATTCCAGAGAAGAGATGATTACAAGAAGTATAACCTCTCGCAGCTTCAAGAAATATATGGGTTTGTGAGTATGTTTAAGTCGCTACGCTATTCATAAATATATCAAAGATTTTCTAAATCACTACAGTTACTGTTTCCATTACAGGTCCAATGGAAGCCCCTTATGGATGAAATATTTGCTACTAATTTTACTGACAGCGATAAGTTTTATGTGGTAGCTCCAGAGTATTTTGAGAGTCTTCAGAAAATGCTCACTCATTTTCAAAACAGGTATCTGCAAATGTTGTATAAATCCATATATTTCTTCTCTGTTTTTTAATTTGTTAAGAAGTTTACGGATAACATAAATTTCCTGAAAACTAAAACATAGTAAAATTCCTTTGTTCTGAAGATTTTAATTGAAGTATTGTGTATTTATTCCCACCTTTTGTGAGTTTGTGTCTTCTGGCTTTATTCGTGTTTATGAATTCACTTTTTAATTTGTCCGGAGATAGGGATTAGCTCTATCTAGTGGGCCCAACTGAGTAGGAACCTGAAGACGGAGATAGAGCCCCATCTCCGAAACGTCGTTTTACGTTTTATTACTAGACGATGGATAATATCAAAGTAAATTTTTATTCAATTTTATGAAGTATTTGAGCACGTTTCAGAAACGCCACTAAAATGACACCAAACACTCTTGAGGTCGGCTCATAAATTTCATGATGCCCGTCCACAATAACTTTGGCCTTCATCAGACCTTACCCTGTTTCATTTATTTATTATTAAGTGCCACTATTTTAGTTTGAGAACTTAACAAATTTACATTTATTTCTTATCTAGTGTCAAGGCTTATAAAACAATATTTTGTTTGTTGTAGAGTGGTTCATAATGCGCTCCTTCTTGTGTTCGCCCGAGACATATTGCATGAGCTAGTGAACGCGACGGCCACGCCAGACTGGTCAGCGTTCTGTACACGTGTCACAATAAGCGTGTTCACAAAGGCAGTGAGCGCCCTCTATGTTCAACAGTTCTCACTTCAGTACCTTGAAGAACTTCGTAAGCAGGTGGGCTATATTATCATCAACTACGACTTGACTTTAATGGAGCTTCAAATCACACGGTTGTCGTTCGTGTTGTGTAACGTTCCAGCATTTGCCTACGTGAAATTAAGAAATCGTGAAAAGTATCGCTCAGAATCATTATCATCAATCATGATTCAAACCAGGAAACATCTTTATTTAACAAAAAGGAATCTGTTTAATTATCATTTTCTCAAATTACTGGACAATATTAAGTAACTGACTTAGCTATAACTGTCGCACATGTGACCTATATTTGGAACCTTGGTCAGGGTATTAATTATTTTGGCATAAGTATTTTGTGATTTTTCAAAGTAATCCTTCCAAACAAATTCTACAAGAGTGGTTTCTTAAGACCATCTGCTTCTGGAAGGTTCATGTCTGCTGTTAATAAATGCCCTTAGCATTTGTTATTTGAACATTAATTAATTAACAACGTTAAGTAATATAGTCAAAATCAGCATGAAATTTTGACGTGGCAGGTGACGCAGATGTTCAGGCACTTGAAGGTAACCTTGGAGACAAGGATCAGGAGTCTGTCGTGGTTGGATGAGCTGACACGTGAAGAAGCTCTGCATAAGTTATCCAATCTGCGTGGGCAGTTCTTCACTTGGCCACAACTCTGGAACCAAACGTATGTCGCCAGCCTCCTGCAGGATGTGAGTTGCCATGCCTTCTGCATGTGGCACAATTCTCCAGCTTCCTTCTGTAATTTTCATACCTTCACAGTTACATTTTAGTAAAACTATATCACGTTAAATTAGAATCAAGATCAATACTAAGGGATAAGATAGTCACTTGAAGTCTGTCAAAACTTCACAGTCAGTCTCGCCTCCACGTCGTGCATCCTGTTTTTGCAGATCAGTCTGTAATGGCCAAGTTATGGTCTTGTAAGTGCCATGGAGAAAACATTATTACAGTAATATTCCTTATGTTAGTTTCAATTTTAATTTCAGATTTGAATTTCTCATTGTGTTAACTGCTGTAAATATCCAATAGAATCAGAGTAAAGAGTACAACTATAAAGAGAATTTTAAAAAATCTTCATGCTAAATTCTTAGTATGAAGTGTGTAGCGTATGAAAGCCTTGACATTTAACATATTCATGTAGAAATATTATGAATTGTACCAACCTGTGAACTTTATTCATAAAAGCATAGATAAAATTAATTACATCAGTATGAAACTTTACAAATTGCCTTTTGAACAAATTATTCTGTAAAATTGGCATAAAATGACATGTTTTCAAACTAAATCACCAATTTTGCTGGTGGATGTAATTGCATGTGCTTGCATCATCGCACTCACTTACCTACAGGTATAATTTAAAATAATATATAGTACTCTACATTTCTTGGTGTTGACATAATTTGTTCTTTTAATCTAGACATGCCAAAAAGTCAATTTTTAAAGTGCCAGAGTTGATGTGAATTATTTATAGTTTATTTAATAATGGTCTCAATACCTCACATTATAAAGTCAAATGACTGCAGAATAATAAATCAGAAAGGGTATGGGAGGAAGCAGCCTTGGCCTAATTTAAGGTACTATCCCAGAACTTTCCTGAAGGGATTTTGGAAAACCATGGAAGACCTTAGTCAGGACAGCTGATCTGAACCCATAACCTCAAAGATGTGAAACAGGAGTTGGTCATTATGTTCTGTCAGAATTAATGACAGTATAAGCCATAAACTATCCAGCCATAGATCATAACCTAGAATTATGTTTTACTACAGTGTACAAAATAAAATGCACGTCCTTCAATATAAACTTTAGGTACACGTTGATCCTGATGATTTCTTTGGCAATGTAATCCGGAGGTACAGACAGCTGAGAACTACGCCACATAACTTCCATGACCAACTGCCAACTGATCAGAAGTAAGTAATCTTATTTGTAATGACTGGACTTCCCACAATTCATAATAATCCAATCTGTGAATACTAAATTTGGTGTTGCTAATGTTTCAGGTGGGCATATCCCTTTGTTGTCAATGCATTTTATGAACTGACACTCAATAGTATAGGTAAGTCTCTCGTTTCTATACGACCATTTATGCAGTCTGTAACATGGTGATATTGCCATTACGTCCCCTACAACTTTCTCTTTCAATGAACAGGGTTCTTACTTGACTTCATACTTACGTGAGATTGTAGCAATATTTGCACTACTTCAGAGTCTTTGACTTCCACTATCCACGTTAAAAATATATGGAACTATATCGCCACTCCCCATACATCTTCACGGTATATGGCTCAGTATGGCACGTGCACAGCATTACCTTCAGGACCTAAAGTTAGTCGTGAAGTCCTCAACTTGTATCTAGTCCAACACAAATGCAGATGCAGGCACATATTATACTTCTTTTCAGTGATACCTCTGGCCGTTCTTACTCAACCGTACTTCCGAGCCGACGTTCCCCATTATATTCCCTACGCTACAATTGGCCTTATTTTTACTCATGAAATGCTGCATGGGTTTGATCTGATTGGAATCGGCTATGATGCCAAAGGGGAGCCGAGGGAATGGTTCTCTCCTGAATCTCGTCTGAGACTAGAGGCACGGCTGGACTGTGTGGCAAGACAGTATGCAGCCACCTTCTGGAAAAAAGTCAACTTCATGGGTGCCAACATAGAGGTCCAAGTGAGTAAAGGTAACATAATGGTATGGCTTCATTCAAAAAACATAGGTAAGGCAGCCAGCTAGTAACCATTGTAGGAGGACAACTTGGAAACATTTTATTTTAAAATAACTTCCAATTTGTATAATGGAACATAAACACTGTGGCATGATTCAGTTCTGTTTTATAATCTGTACTCCGATAAACATTATTAGAGTGCTAAAATCAAGGATAAAATAAAGTTGGGCATAGAATGTTTGGGAGAGACAAAAAATAGGCCCAGATATAAAACGTTAGCCAGAAATTTGAAGAGAATATACCATTTCAAAGACCAGGCGTAGAAGGAAAGATAATGTTATAATGTCTTTATATATATATATATATATATATATTCTTCCTTTTTACTCTTTATTTCTAAACATATTTTTAAATTTGTTCATTTGCTTACATATGATAATAAATTGTACTCTTTCAGTTTGATTGGAATGTGACACAGAATGAGAACATGGCAGATATCAGTGGGCTACAGATTGCTTACAAGACATGGAAGTTACTTCAGGAAGAAGACACTCCTGATCCACACTTGCCTGGAATTAACCTCAGCCCAAGACAACTTTTCTTTCTCAATGCAGCACAGGTAAGACTGTCTAGAGAAGTATGAAATCTACGTAATGACACATTATAAACTCTTCTTGTTAATCTATGGTCTGGCACCCAGTCAACATGACTTCCATTTCTCTTGGTATTTTTTAAAGCCATTAGTCCTTTTGTTAACCTAAAATAAATTCCTTAAATTCTCTCCCTTTCATCTGTATCTTTAAGTTACTCCTTCCAATCCATATACAAATTTCACTTATGTTGCTTCAATTCCCTGTTCGTCTCCAGATCATAGAATCCAGCATTCATTACTTTATACTTATCTTTCTCAGTTTTTATTGACGTTCATCTTATGAGTCATATTGCCAGAATTTTACATAAATATATAGTCTGCATCTTCAGGGCTGAAGTTGGAGGAAAGTATTTGTTTCTTTAAAACACCAATGTCTACCTACAAGTCCGAGTGGCATAATACTGACATCGTCTTCACAGTCATAAGATCCTTAAACCTTCTACTCAGTTCTTTATTAAATATTATATTATATAGATTACTATTACTTGCCTCACCCAGTCCATGCATTTTTCAGACATACTGCTCAACACTATCACCAGAAGATTATATTCTTTTGGTAGAAATGGACTTCCATACACCCTTTCCTGAACGGTAAGTAGGTGGAAATTAATTGTGTATGGTTTTGTCATCTTTGAGTGTGGTGTGTTGTTTTGTTGTGTCTTATGTTTTGTTCTGTCTCATTGTTTTGTTGTGTCTTATGTTTTTTTTGTCTTATTGTTTTGTTCTGTCTCATTGTTTTGTTGTGTCTTATGTTTTTT